TTGAAAGCGCTGTTGAAGTTAATCTGCCTTTGGGGAGTCCATACACCACATTACCTAATTTGGTGCAAACTAGGTTTAGCAGAGCATGATTTTCTGCGGTAAAGCAATGCTTTGAACACAGCGCGACGTGATGATGGCATTTTCAGAGTTAAGCCGCTAAAACTTGTTCCATTATATTAGTTTTATGCGCTTTTTCCTACAGCACTCCTTTGTGCGCACAAACTCTCTTATTTACGACGATTTGAATGCTAACAAATCTGGTATTTACACTTGGTGGGCAGTTACCGTAACAAATGGGTCGCCCTCCTCTATCATCTTATGCCCTTCCGATTTAGCTAAACATATATTTAGTTGGTAATATTTATAGCGTAGATACAAATAGCTCGAGTGGTGGTGTAGCTAATATGCCTAAAGCGAGAGAAAAAATACGGAAGGTGGTTTGTGTGTGGCCGAGGTTATGGAATGTATCCACTATTGCATCTTCATACTTGAGTTGAAAAAGCACAACCCTCAGGAAGACTTTAAAATTTTACATTGGTAAAGAGTCTCAATAAAAATGGTTATGCTTTTAATGAGGTCGTCATAGCAGCTGTTGAATTCAAAAAAACATCCTTACTCATAAATAATAAGTAGGAATAAATATAAGTGCATTGTTCAAGGGTTGTCAAGATAACACGGTTTTGCCAGCTTCTGATTCAAGTCAAAACATTTTTTATACAGTTGCTGTGGTTTTATTCCTGTAGTTACATTGATCATGTATTGCAACACTATCAGAGTATAATTTTGGCATTACAAAGCGTCATTATTTTCATGAGAATCTAGAAAAGTTGCGATTGACATAGCAAACTCTCCAGAATCGTATTTTTGTTGATCGGTATTTGAGCTGGCAACAACAGGCAATCATTTCTATCATATTCTTAATTCATTAAACAATTTGCGATCCTACTTTTTACGTTTACCATGGAAAGCTCTTTGGAGAGCTAAATCGTTGGGAGCAGTTGCTCGGCTCCTCGTCTCCAGCAGCACGAAGTGGTCACACTGTAGGAAACCATCAGCAAACCAACCGCTACTGTCATAAAAAATTTTACTGAGCTAAACGGATTCCTCCTGCAAACTGGGGGAAATCTTGTGTTCTTTAATGCAAACATCAAAGATGAAGCAAGTACCACACAAAACTTAATCGGTGGCAACTTTGGGCATTCGCATCTTCATTCTAGTACCGTTAAATCCTAATTTGCCCATGTAATCTCCAACTAGTGGGAATTTGGCGGCGACATACAAGCACCCTCACGCAGGTAGGGTTGGTATATACATGACTAGCATTGCTGAACATTTCACTGTCGTTATTAGCCTTTGTTTCCTTGTAGATAAGGAAAGTGGAGTAATTACTAAAGGTGGATGGCATCCTCAGCTCCTTTTTTGTTGAAGGCTATTGGCCATTTTACTGAAAAATGTAAATAAGGAGAGATGACCTTTGATTTGGAGTTCCTTTTCAGCTACTGTCGAGACAATAGTACTTCTGGGCTCCCTGCAAGACAAAAGGCAGCGCAACAACTGAACAGTAAGTTGTGTTTTGACACTCAGTTGGGCTCAAGGGACAGCCGTCACTGTTTACCTGAGGAGAAAACTATTGTGGGGCACCGAAGCGGACCTGTACATCACAAACTTTTTATCTACTGAGGCAAAATAATCCCCAATATTTAACTATACTAAGTTCTGTTGCAAAAATTAAAAGTTCTTATCTGATTTAGTTGGGTCCCAGGATGAGACAACTTCCTATCCCCTCTCTGGGTTCCACGTTTGTAGTCCAATTTGACCCCAACCCTTCAAGCAGGAACTTAAATATTTGTTTTCTTACTCTTCCAAGGCGAAAGGACTCTTCCGCTTGTTGGAATGAGGCAAAAGTAATTTTATGGACTTAAAATAGTTGTCTGAGGAGCAGTTCATATCGTCTTCTTCCCTCCTCTTTCGCCTCTTGCCGGTTTGACCGGTCACGGTCCCACAACACCCATTGCAAGGGAACAAACCGAGGTCGGAGTGACGACATGCCTCCCAAAAATCTTTAAAATGAGACTTGACAGACAGTGTGCTGCTGAAAGAAGTCCATTGGTAACGCAATTTTGCCTCCAGTTGGAATGGAGAGACAAACAATTATTCGCAATGAAGGCTGTCACAGGGATACGCTTCCACATCACTCGGCTCTGACCAAAAAGACCACTTCAAAGGCCAACATTTAACTCTTCCAACTTACTACTCACCTTCTTTATGACAAAAGAGAAGCCAGTTTCGCAATGCTAAAAGTTCAGTGTATGATGAGAGATGGTGTGTGCCTCAACGCTAAAGTTTATTACCGAGGTATAAAATTATCCCCAAAGGATCAGCTACATGACCTCTGCGAGCCGAATGGAATCAACTTTTACCACTCTTCTTTAACCTGTAGTATTGAAGCTTACCTGTATGTATCCTTTTAGCTTCCTTACATTTGGGAAAGAAGGGTAAACACAATTTCTGCTTGACTTGCCTACCGTCAAGTCCCGTATTCCCCGTCTCACCGATTTAATGCGTAAACAAGACAAACAAATCGCGTTTGAGCCTTAGCTAATGCTTAAAGGTGGAAAATATGATGGCCTAGTTGGAGAATATTGTAAGCGGAATGAGCTATTCTTATACACGTTCTCATTTCCCATGCCACTAGGGTATCCATAGAGAGCAATTCTCAATGAGAGAAGAGGCCGAATGAAGCTTGAGATGCTAGCACTTTCTGCAAGAGTTCATTATTGCCACTTTGGACTGTTTGAGGTTCACCTACCTACACAAAAATGATGAAAGGAGGGATGATAAGTACCAATATACTCAGTTTTAAGGTCTAAAAGCTTCACCACTCCGTGCCCCCCTTACGGGAGAGCTGTAGATGGCATCGGTGATTATATCAAAAAATAAAAAGTTTTAAAAACTGTTTCCCTCTCTACCTCCCCCTTGTTCTCTATTCTCTCTCCCTCCATCTCCCATTCGCATAGAAAAATACACCTTCATAAACCTATTTGGCAACTTGTGCAGAGTGGAAAAATTACTGCACTCTGATTGGTCCATTTGAACAAAAGGTAATCTTTTTAAGTGCGGTGAAAATCTGCCTCACTCAAAGGGTGAAGTTGGCATCACAATGGATGCTTATCTTGTTTTGTGGTTGTTTTTGCTCCCCTTTTTCCCATCGGTCCGTTTTTACAACAAAAATAGTATAAGTAGGCCAATTCATGTAGGCACTCCTATAGTCATCAGGTTTCCTTAACAGCAACCCCTATTTCGCACACCAAAACAGCTCATCGCCATCATAAAGGCAACAGTACTTTTGACTATTGGCTATATTTTTCCTTATTCTGCTTCTTTTTCTTAGCTTTGAATAAACGATTGCGTAGAAAAGTTTTTCTAAAATACCTGTTCTACTAACCTGTAAAAATTAGCACTAAGTGTCCTTTCTCTCTTCATTTTGGAAGAAATCCTAAATCCACATAGCGATGGCGAAAAGGGCTCATCATCATCCCAATTATTATTGCCCTAATCATCAAAATTGGCCGACTGTCTGGTGACTAACTCCATACCGAAGAGTCGAGGTGGATAATTACAGCACACCTGACACTTTTAAGGGATTAAATAACCCCTTTTTAATCCACTTATACCTTAATCAAAGTTACTTGCAGATTTGGATGCACCTTAACATAATTTGTGGCTTAAACTTACTTATGAACAATGGAAGAATGAATTACTGTTTAAGCAAACATGTAGTGTCTATCCTGAAGGCGTACACCAATGGAACGCTGTGAGTGCATGCAATAAAAACTCGTATCTCAGCAACATTTTTTGCAATTACATAAGAAGCAATTAAATTTATCGGATTTAGGGTTCAACTCCTTTTTACATAATGATAATAATAGATTAGTATAACTAAGCTAGACTAAGCTAGTTTCTGGCAGGGAAAATTGCGAAGTGTAGTTCATTAAGAAAGCATGACCAAAAAACAATTCATTAGTCCTTTAAAATAAGAATCGCGCATAAAATTAGATGGTGAAAATTTTTGTCTGCGCAGTTTTGCAGCAATTTGTACAGCCCTTGCAAGAGATTAACGCGCATTCTGATTGGTCGTCCCTCAGCTCAACTCTGATTGGTCCAAATTTCTTCAAAAATTTTATTGGCCGGTCCCTCTTGTGTTTGTTCATTTTAGTGAACATATCTTTCTAGCGGGTTCGTTCTTTATTTATCTCGGCTCAATTTTCTCGCTTATTTGATTATTTGCTTCTCTACAAGTTTATCTGTCATTATTTAAGATTTTTAAAGTGCTATGCACCTGTGAAGTGGTGCAGAAAATTAGCAAAATTCAGATGCTGCCTTTTTAGCACTTTAAATAAGAAGCCGGAGATAAATTTCATTAGTCAATGTCAGCAACTTAACCACTGCATTTTTGTTTATGTCGAACTACCAAAACGTTTTCCTTAGTAGTTGCAGGTGCTTATAAGGAAATGAATTAATTATCATCATTTGTCCAGAGGCAATATTTACGACTCCAACACCGTTTAATTACCTCCCCTCCGAGGTAAATATTTTATAAACCATTTTTTTTTCACCACAATCACTGAATAAATACTTTAGTACGTTCTGCGTTTACATTGGGCTTGTCTCACCCAAACAATGCCCAAAAGTGCCTATTTCAACAAAAGTTTATTTCCTTTTTTGGAGAGGCGAAAAAAGTAGCAAACACTTTTGACTGCTTTGTCCTTTCAAATTTCGAATTAATGGAGGGAACAGTGATAACAACAATGCATTGTCACTGCAGCTCAACGCCTCTGCAATGAGAGTGTATTTTTCAAAGAGGCGTTTTTTTTGTGGACAAAAAAAACAGGAAATACCCAGCACTTTACTTATTACTAATGCGTTAATTAATAGTCTTGATTCATGCATTTCCTAAATAGAAAATCATGGATTAGAATTGGGCGAAGAAGACAAACGTAATGGTGAATACTTTGACGACGGTAGTCCTTGTGATATGCATCGCCTTAGCAACGATCGCAGCCTTCATTTGTGCGGCCACTTTGGCTGTTGCTTCACCATGGTGGCCACAGCGCAAAAGAACACGACGCGGACACGCGTCTGGAAAGATGTCAACCTCGCCAGTGAACCTCCTTCGCCGAGCTATTGAAGCCTTTTCTCTTACCTCACCTCAAACAATTCCACGCACTCGGGACACATCAAGGCGCAGTTCCATCTTTGCCGAAAGTCAGTCAATTCCATTGCGAGGTCATCCTGAAAGGTTCTATGGTGCTACCAGTCCGCATCATGCCTCCACCCGATCCTCAATATGT